CGAATCGATCACTCTACACGATAAAGTATTATCGATGTTTTTCATCGATACGCAGATTCATAGTTTCGCCACGCAGCATTTATTTAGACTTCGACGGTGCTTCCCAGAAGTTCCGCGCTTCGAATTTCAATTAATACTACTCTCGAAGGTTGATTATTCTTTCGACTCGTCCGTTTCGAGCCAGTTCTTAGACTTGCTCCAATTCGAGTGTTCCAAGAAAAGTAATATCAGTCTCGAGCTTTAAGCAGTTGAAAAAGGAACAGGAATCAATATTCAATAACCCTATCATCAATATAAATTCCCTCCGCCTGTAATACCTTCGGCTCCGAAAACCTGTTTAAATGATCCCGTCATTCCGAGAATCCCACTTCATCTCGCACCTCGATTTCCCGAAACGCAAGTAAACAACACTCGCGTAGCGTCGTCGGTGTCGCGGCCCGCTATCCGCCTTCCTCCCGGGCCGGGGCTAATTGACACTCTATCATCGATTTCCAATCTCGCCGGGCGCAATTAATAATAATTGAATTTAAAATCCATCGGCCCGGGGTACGTTGATAAATCGATTACACGATTGCGCCTCGATTTTTTCGCCGGAATTAATTAGGGACACGGAACGTTTCCTCATTGTACTCGGGGGGGAACACGTTGCCGCTCCACATTCCCCGTGTTTTCCTTTATCGACGTCGATATCTGGCTATTCAGATCACACTATAAGATCAACCGTTATCTATCACGTAATTCCTCTCCCTTTCCCCCCGACGTTCATGCTCGTGCACGGGACAGCGTGGCTCGCGCGCACCGGCACACACGTGCACGCGGCCAAGTGACTTACGAGCAACACGGAAATTGATTGCGCCGCATTGACGCCCGTGTGTGCAACTGAACGAGCTCTCTTCCAGCCGGAGCCACTTTTTCCCCTCCCTCCAACGTTCGTGTCTCGATGCGTGTTATTGCTCGAACGACACTCAGCCACGGATTAGAGACAATTCATTCCTTTTTGCTCGCCACCCGCACGAATGTCCCCGCGCGCAACCAGACACGCTTTGCATGCCGCACAGGCGAAATATCGTGGCTCCGGTTTTTATCCCAGATCGACGATAAGACTTTACGAGCCCGGTCTTTAATGGAATGCGACGGCGAACGGAACGGAGATCTGTACCGTGACCCCTGTAATTGCTCGCCACTCATCCCCTCCACTCGCGAATGATCGCTGCGCGAGTCGCGTGTCAAGGTTAGGTTCTCTGCTGGCTCTCGCGATTGGTTCGATGACTTTTGCGAAGGTTTCGGAATGCTAGCGCGGTTACAGTACTAAAGTCGGAGACTATGATATCAGACGCTTCAGTCAGTAAATGGATTTACTTAGTAATTTCTCTAGAAATCATCTATATCTTTCTGGTAATTGTAAGATGAATTCGAAGTAAACTCTGTTACTCTATCAGTGTGACACGGATATTGCAATCTTTATAATTAAGAGACGGCTCCGATGAATCGAGCCGCAAAGTTTGGGCGGGTCGTGGTTCTCGGAACTGCACTGGATGCAGTTTATTGGGCCGCGTGCAATTCAGATAAACCGTTTGATAGGCCGCCGGGCGTTATCGGGCGAAGAGGATCGTAATCCTTGGCAATCGTCACTATTGACGTTTTATCTGGACGGAGAACTTATCTTCCGATCGGCTCGTTCCGAAGCCCGGTTACGTAACCGCGTGCGTGCTTTTCTTCCGTTACTTCCCTGTTGCTTAATTAAAACCACGCCTTTATTTACACGGAAGGGGCAATCGTGTGTCGGGTGTGAACGCGGCGCACCGGTGCCCGGCCGAGCGACCCTCGACGATCGAGTGGATCGATACCGGGGTACCGTGAACAGGTATCTGCCCGATCTCGATCGTGCTGGATCACCGTCGGGGTACCTGGTCGCTGCCCCCTTCGTCTAATTCGTATGTCTGTCCGGGTTCGCGTGGCGCAACGCGTTCCAGCGACGTTGCTCCGCCGTGGAAAACAATCCGGCTCGGCCGAGCGAACGTATCGAACGCGTTTCACGCCGAAAATGGAGAAATCGGCGCGAAGTCGAACGAAAAATTGCCTGTAATTGGACTAAAAGATCCGGACAGCTGATATCACCGTGTCAGAAGAAAATTGTAACGGATTCCGAACGGGCAGTCATGCACAGAGCGATCTTGAGTGGGAAATCGAATCGTTAGAAAGTGATTCTTTCGGAGGAATATACGAACCGTTTGTAGCAATTTGTTCCTATGCTACCTGTCCCGCGTTGATTCTACAGACATCTATAAAGAAGCTACTTCGCACTTGTACCGATTTTTCCATTAAGAGCAGGTTTCTCAGAGAAAATTCCTCGACCCAGACTCCAACCCATGAATTAGACAGCGATCTAGTCCAGACCTAATTTTAACCCATAAATTAAGCCATAATCTAACCGAAATCTACCTCTGGCTCGTGAATTAGCGCGCAATCCAATCCGGGCCCCCAAGAGAAAGATTTTATTCTACGTTCCACATCTCATTTATCGACGCAGGGGATCGGATCGTGTCGCGTGTAGTTTAATATAGCCAAGGCACTCTAGCCCGGATTATTCAGACGTAATTAGGAGTCGTCGTATCCGAGATACAAAGACAGGTACGCTATTGTAGACTCATTGGATTAAGTTATCTGCATAGCCGAGTGCTATTGTATTAGGATTAAAGAGGAATTTGCTGATGGCCTAGATCGGTGTGCTCGGCTGCGTAGAACATTCGTCTCCCCGGGACTTTATCCTCTCTACCGTGATAAAATAAAATTCTTTCGCCGTATCCGGAGCTCGTTCTCCGAATGCAACACGCCGGAAGATTGATCGTTCGCCGTCGCGGGACTTCGGAGCGATCCCGAATGCAAAAAGATGCGTGGCGATCGGATTTTTAAATGAGGCTGCGCGCTCGTGAATTAATGAGGCGCGCATAGAAATTCACGCGCTGCTCGGAAGAGGAAAACGGACGCGTGCTTCACTCGAGTGATCCATTATTTGCCGAACACACGGGAGCCTGTGTGCGCCGAGTGCTCTCCGGGAAATTTATTAATTGCACTCGAGGCTCGTCGATATACGGGAATTTATTAGAAATATTCGACGGTTTCTCGAATTATTTTATCTCGTATTTCATTATGCATTCCCCGGAACGTCCATTCGCTCTGCCATTAGATTAACCAGCGTACACCCGTTCGTACACATCATAATCTGCGTTTCATTGTGTATCATTTCAAACGGTTTCACATCGGTGAAACCGATTCGTTTTACGAACCCCACGAAAATACCCGACTCGTCTTCCCATATCTGATTTGCGTCGTCGAAATTTTCCAAGCCAGAATCAATTTCCCACAAATCCAATAGACTCGCCCAGAATATCAAACTGCGAAATCTATTTGTATCTCCATTCGGCCCACGGGAAAAAAGTTCTCGAAAAACTCGGTAACGTTCCGCGTGGAATCTCTGTGGCGTTGTCCGTGGCGTTTCGTTTCGTCGTTGTCGGGGTTGATTCGGGCCCGGTCGTTTCCCCGTAGAAAAATACGTGTCGAACGTGCCGCGACTTCGAATCGTAAGACGCAAATCGAGACGTCGAAAGCGGGTGCTCGCGGCGGAATCGAGAGGAACCGTAGCGAGTTTCGAGGAGGAAAAAAGGTGCCGTGACTTTTTCTTCCTCCATCCTGTGGCGCGATTTCGCGTGCAATTAACCCGCCGATGGACGAAATTGCTCGCGCATTGTGCTCGTAATTTTTCAGGTAAATATACAACCACGGTGGTCATTCGCGGGAATTGAAATTCCCGGTGGGAACAGTGACGGACGAAACGAAAGGACGAAAGGCGGCTCTCGATTCCTCCTTCGAGGGGGAATATCTCAATCCGAGGCGCTCGAAAGCGAACGACCGTCCAACGGACGCGAACAGCTTCATTTACGCCTCCTATTATACTCCCGTGCTAATCGTTATTATGGCAGGTCGTTGCATAACTGCAATTACCGCACCGCGAGGAACAACGTTTCTTCGGATTGCACCGTTGCACGCGATATTCCGGGCTCGCAGGGTCTACGACCTCCCATGGTGTTAGGTTCCCTTCGTGCTCCTTCACCCTTTGCGTTTTGAATTATGACACTTTTATTTTTCACTGCTATCTCCACCGTACACACGTGTGGGTACGTGTGCTAATAACGCGCGCAAGGGGTGAGACCGCTTCTTGCGATCGTTAGGTCGTAAATATGTATGGCCCCGCGCCTTAAATTATATCGAATTCGTAGGAAACGTAAGATTGTTGGGATTGCAGTATTTTAATGGTAACGCTGGTGTGGAATATCAGCGAGATATTAAAGGTTAAAGTGCTATCGCTTATGATTAAAGCGGAGAGGCCGGTTGCCCGTGTTTTATTGGACACACGGCAGATTTTTCATTATAACAAATGTTGAACGTTCGTTGAAACAGTTTCCGATTGAAGTGCATATTCGCTTCGTATTTTCAACCGGTAGATTCGAATTACAGGCAGAGAGTAATGGACAGTTTCAATCGCATCGTCGCGTAGGCTACACTTTCATCTAATCCAAATAAATTGTCGCGAGCGATAAGAGGCGGTAAATTGAAGTCTTACGAGAGAAAGAATTGCGAAATAAAATTGTACAAGGGTCGAGCCAGCTCGACGAACACTTTCTCGTTATTCCCGGCGAGTTGTTTCTGCGTAGACAAATGCGCCATTGCGAGAAGTTTTTCAGTGAAGCGTGCCGGCCGATCGTTTACGATACAATTGTTCGGAGGCAAATATCCGCGACTAATCGAACTGTGTCATCGCTGCGATATGATGTATAGCAGAACTGCGTGCAAACTGTTTGCTCGGTCTGATTCTTCAAGGATGCGAGGCGTTCGTAAAAGTCGAACGAGTATATTGCCACACGTGACCGCCGAACGCGAGCGATTTTCTGTTACTCGCGTCGGAATCGATGTTTCACGATTTCTTCGTTGTCGGGTTTCAGGGAGCTAGATTCCGGGATACCTCCCAGCAAATCCATAAGCAATGGCAGGCAGATCCGGCGAGAGCGTTTCCAACAGTTGGCACCGTTACCACTGGTTCCGTCTCCCCCACCTCCGGCGAGATTTCAACCCCCAATTCGACGCCCAGTCCGAGCCCTAGCCCGACCAACAGTCAACAAGTCGTGGTGAGTACCGATCACTTGTCATCGATTCGCTTTCTCTTCAAGGGTTTCCGGCGTTTACCTTAATGAGACTTGTCCAGACTTGTCCGGATTCATTTTAGACAGTTTCAATCGACATCGATGTACTTCACGCGAGCCGGAACACCGGAACACCGGAGAATCGTTCGATAAGTTAGACGTTCCATTTAAATGGAAAGTGATATTCTTTGTAACACCTTTGTCATCTGGCTGTTAAGTGAATAATTGTTCGATAAGTTATACGTCCGATTTAAATGGCAAGTGATATTCTTTGCAACACCTTTGTCATCTGGCTGTTAAGTGAATAATTGTTCGATAAGTTATACGTCCGATTTAAATGGCAAGTGATATTCTTTGCAACACCTCTGTCATCTGGCTGTTAAGTGAATTTCTCGGAGGGTAAAAGCATCGTTGTTCAATAAATATCCGTTGAGTTGATTGTTCGTAGAACCGTAGGGATTATGAATGGTTCACGAGGAGGTTGCTATTTTTCAATAAAGGAACGGTTGAATAGAAGGCAGACACGCGAGAGTCCGAGAAACCCAGCCTCGTTTCGCAGACCAATAAGATTTTATCTCCGTGATTCACGAAACGGCGAAATCTCGATATACACGCGCCTCCGGGGCGTAAATCTCTGCGGAAGCCGCGAATACCCTTTGAAACTCTCCAGGGGTGTATCAACTGCAGCTACGATTCTCGCATACCTATGGGTCAGGGGTTGCGCGAGCATTGTAAAGGGTGTATCACGGATCGACAAGTGATAACCGCCTCCCCATATCATATCCACGAGCTGCTACAATCCGATCGTACCGTTCTCGCATAGTCAATTCTCTACTTGTCCCTCGCAGCCATCGTAATCCGATAATCGTATACTTTCCACTTTCCTATTCGACGAGCAATAATAACCCTTCGAACACATGCAAAGAATTCCACAGAAGTGTAACATCGAACGATACAGGAAGATATTCAATTCTATAGTGGTACTATATTATAGATAATGAAAGAGTGGATCTTGAGTAGTCGAGAACTAGGAATAAATACATGTATTTAATAAAATATGGAAACACGGACAACACGTAAAAATACAACTCAGTGCCACGGAGGCTAACACACGACTCTCTTCCTGCAACTCTCTCATAGACATTCTCTCCTAAAAATCATTCTCTCCACAAGCATTCTTCTCACTCGCACTCGTCACAAACACTCGGATGCACCCCTGGAAAGCTGGCCCTGCAATGTTGGGTCCGCGGCGTTGCGCAGGCCACTTTCCCTCGACCGTTCTACAGCCTGTCCTTCACTCACACTCATTCTTACATTCACTCTTAAAAATACCTTAACCTACGCTAAAAATTCTAGATACTACAATTCTAATATCCTAAAGTTCATTAGTAAAACAATTTTCCAAGAGCTTAAAGGTATTTCCCTCGACCGTTTTGCAGCCTGTCCTCCGCTCACACTCATTCTCGCATTCACTCCTCTTAAAAATACCTTAACCTACTAAAAATTCTAGATATTCAATTCTAATCTCCCAAAGTTCATTAGTAAAACAATTTTCCAAGAGCATAAAGGCATTTCCCTCGACCGAGCGTGCTCTTTTAATTTTCTCGCCCCCGTTGAAATACAAAACCGTAATGCAGGCCAAACACAATCGGCCCGGAATTGAACTGGAACAGAGTTGAAACAGCGGGAACCGGTTCGTGGGTAGTATCGCGGAAGAGAAATATCGAAAATACACTCACGAAGTTGCGATTCGGCCGTTTTTCAATGAACGGGAACGCGTGGAACGTTAAACGAATCCTCGCGTCCCGAGCCGCGGGGCGAGGGTGGGAGGGAGGGAGGGTTTCCCGGGGTTTCCATTTTTGTGCTATTACGCCGATTGCCGGTTTCCGGCGCGATGCAACCCGGCGAATCAGCAGAAAGCGAGGATATATTCAACGTCGGCGGGCGCCGCGCATACAACTGAACGCAACGGGCATTGTTCGTGAGAGACTATCGGTATGCGAGCCGTACATCCAATTGAACCGGTCGAGAAGTCGGGGGTTGGGTGCCAGGCCCGACGCAACCCCCGGTCTACGCCGCCATTGTGCTCCCACGACTGTGCGGAGTTTGATTCTAGGTCACCAGGACTTAATGAGAAATTACTAGCTGTAGGTATATGGAGACTTCCGGGCGAACTCGTTGCGTTGGAACTGATAGATTGGACCCAGGGTATATATCGGCCCGTTTTAATCACCCTCCGTAACCGGTTACGTTGATGGCGAGCAATAAAAGCGGAATCTACTCGATTACCTTCTGGTAGACGCTTTTGTCGTCGCTCCGGTGATCGAGTAAGTTTCGAATCATTATTCGGAGTAGATTTATCTGATATAACTCTTGGATTGTTATATCTGAATTCTTGAATTGTAACGTTATAGTTATATCTTCAGTTCACTGAACTTTTCGTAGTTTTAACCATTTGCGGACGAATGTCGGCATTTTGCTGAGATCAAACTTCCATGATTGGAATACCCAGTTGACAAATGATTTAACTGTTCGAACAGCAAGAAATCAGCACACAGTTTCCTTATTCTCTATGATTTAAGCATTCAGTGTTTAATTTAGCAGAATTTGCAGAAGGTTTCGTATACTTTCAACAATCTTCGTCCGCAAAGGGTTAATATTTGTTATCTGTATACGATGTTCTTAATATTTGTATTAGTCTTTAATCTTGTTGCATCGAAGATTGATTCCACGAAATCTGCCTTTAATTTACAAAGTAGCAATCGTATCGGACACGAATTTCACCAGAAAAATAAACAAAAGTATAGCAACTATGTTATGCACGAGGTAATCAATAAAAAGATAAGCTTATCAGTAGATACACGTAATTTATTGAATCATTAAGACCGTTGTATAAATAAACAGCCACGAATCCGTGAATATTTCCTCGCGTAGCTGAATTCTTACGTCCATGCATTGTAGTTGGAAGTGAAATTGACGAATATAGAAGGAATCCCAAGGCCTGAACCGCTCGGAACTGGTTTCGTTCGTCGAGCTAGACAAAATATCGCGATACTGTGTCGCAATCGTTCGAGTTAATCTTGTTTTTCGCTCGCGGAGATCATCTCCGGCGCAAGGTTAACGACTAGCGCGATACCGGAGTATCGTTTCGCGGTGACGTCGACGGTAATTCGTGTACCAGCCGAAACGCCGATGATCCCATCCTTATTTTTTGCGCTGCTGACCCAATTAAGCAACTGTGGCGGGGAGAGAGAGAGAGAGAGAGAGAGAGAGTCCCTCCCGTAGATTACTATCTGCGCCGCGAATTCGGTCATCAAGCGCGCAAAATAAAACCGCTACGACGCGACGACGATGCAGGCGGAGAGCGTGCTACGGCGGAACCGACTCTGCCAACGGAACACGTCGAAAACGGTGTAAAGTCCGATCAGATTATCAGCGGTCGTTCAATTGCACGCGCGATCGGTGCCCGACATTATTATCGCATTAACGTCGATTAGTCGCTGCCCGGCCGGGCTCTCTGACGTCCAAACATTGTGACGCGATAAACAGCGGAAATTGAAGGCATTAATTAACGCTGATACTAATACACGGTGTTGCGCGAGCCGATTTCTATTGATAGAAATTCGAATCGAGCCCGTCAATAGGGGTAGCGATGGGCGAACGATTGATTGTTGTTGACGGCTCCGGTATCGATTCGCGGGATAGACTTACGCTACATTAAATATCGCTTTATCCAGGATTATGCGAAGATATTCACAGACTTTTATTCAACTAAATACAGGTAAACAATTCCGTAACGCGTCGAATTTCGACGTTGCGCAACTCTAATGAAGATGATCGTCGGTTTATCTGCAACACATTTAGCACGGACTGATAGCACACAAAGTGTCTTATCTGCCTCTCGTTTACTACAGTTAGCTTCTCAACAACAACTTCTACGCCGAATCTTTCCGCAGTTACAACGTATACAGTCGTATAAACCTCAATCTTTGGTACCGACGAGAAGAGGTAAAAAGCAGGGCCGACTAAAATCTCCGGGCCAAAAGAAAATCTCTCTCCGCGTCTGGAAGTCTGAAAATCCCACGTACCGCGCGGCGCGCCGTCAAAGGGGGATAAAACCTTGTTAAAAACTAGATCACTAGCCTCGTCGGTGACTCATCGAGCAATCGTATCAAAGATTCCCTTTCATTCGCGGAAATCGGGACGAGGCTGCCCGCGCGCGCCTCTCGCTGGTTACTTACCTTCCGGCATGCAAAGGAGTCACTACCCCCGAGCGAGTTGCTCGCTCGCGGGGCTTCCCCCCGGTCACGCAGGTGAGAGCCCCGTCTCGGGGTCATGATTAATCCTCGGTAGCGTTTCCCCCCGCCGACGTCGCCAGGCTCGTTTCGTCGGGCACGAGTCAATTAACCCGCTAGGAGGTGTTCCTCTCGCCGCGGCGAGATAAACGAACCAGGAGGGGGTCCGCGTTGGCAGTCGATCTTTCGATAATTAACGTCTTAATCGGCCGATGCTATCGCAATTACTAGCGCCGAATAAACCGCCGCCGCGGCTCTCGTGTCCAGCTCGGATCGCGAACGAACGATTACAGCGTCGACTCTTCCTCTCCCCGAGTTGCGTGTCCGGTTCGAGGAGGAGGGAAGCGATGAATCGATGAAATTCACGACTAACGTTTCGCGTTCCGGCGAGCTCGGCCCGCTGGAAATCGGTTGCTGCTTATGGTAATGCCCGGGGAACAAGAAAACGGGGAAGCTCGAGGGTCAAGAGGGTCGGCCGGCGGCGAAGGGGAAAAAATAGTGGCGAGCAGGTCCTTGAGAATCCTGCAGCTGCCAGTCGTCATCGGTTCATTGAACGCCGGGAACCCACCGCGCGCGCGTTTCGTATTGCCGCTCGCTCGGGGTTACGGGGTTAGGAAATAGGGTTGCGGACAGCGACTATTACGACGCAGCTGGATCGAGCATACCCGTGTTTTCGTTTTCAACGCCGGC